GTGATGGTCAGGGGACAATTGGTGGGAACGATTTCCCTCCTGAAAAAAGAGAGCTGGGTGTACGATGGTTCATGGGTTCAACCCCAGTGCATGGGAAGGAACAGTGGGGAAACTAAGGACAGTCTCTGGTACACTACAGTATGAGCCAGCCTGGGCTAGATGACACCCAGTTTCAGAATTAAAAAAAAAAAAAAGGACCTGGACTCTGAGTGAATGAACACAGTGACTAAATGCCCGCCCCATGTTGCACAAGCTCTCTTGGCTGCGGCATCAGGCAGTACTCCTCCTGGTTTAAAGAAAGATGAAGGAAGCCCTGTGTCTACAAAGAGCTGGCAGCCCCTCCCCAAGCGGGGCTGGCCCTGCAAGGTCATGTTTAAAGGCATCCATGACACAATTGACAGCATCCTCTAGGGTGGGGCACCTGGAACTCCAGTCTGGGCTAAGGTGGGCAGGCAGGGGCTGGTGAGCCTTCTCAAAGCCCGCTGACCTCACCACAGATTTATGGAGCTGGGCATGGGCGGGGTTGGGAACACAGGCCTGGGATTCCTGACCACATCTTGGGGAGATGGCAGCCAGGAGTTTCCCAGTTACAATATGACCCAGTAATGGAGAGGACAGAGACTTGGTTCCTAAGAGACCTCCAGCATTTCTTTTTTTCTTTTTTTTTTTGGGGGGGGGTGGTTCGAGACAGGGTTTCTCTGTGTCCTGGAACTTACTCTGTAGACCAGGCTGTCCTCAAACTCACTGAGATTCACCTGCCTCTGCCTCCCAAGTGCTGGGATCAAAGTCGATTTCCACCATGGTCCAGCTGACCTCCAGCACTTCAAAGGCCTTTCTGAGATGACCCAGTCCTACCCCAGAGTTGTATAGGAAACTCATCTCTCTCACACAAGAAAACTTGGGGGTCTGGGAAAGTCAGACCTGGTGGCACAGGCCTCTAATCCACAATTCAGGGGAAGCTGAGTGGGCAGATAACAAGTTCAAGGCCAGCGTGCACTACAGAGTGAGTTTAAAGCTAGCCTGAGCGACTTAGTGGCACCCTGACTCAACAGGTAAAGCAGAGAAATGACTCAGTGGATAAATTCACTTGCTTCAGGGGCTGGAGACATGGCTCAGCAGCTAAGAGCACTTGCTGCTCTAGCAGAGGACCAGAGCTTAACTTCCATCCACATGGGGCTCACAACCCTCTGAAACCCAGGTCCAGGGACCTGGAGGCTTCTTCTGGCCTCCTCAGCACCAGGGACATACATGCTACACTTACACATGCACATACTTACATGCAGGCAGAACACCCTTATACATAAATAAAAATAGACTTTTTGTTTGTTTTTTGAGATAGAGTTTCTCTGTGTAGCCCTGTGTGTCCTGGAACTCTCTTTATAGACCAACCAGGCTGGCTTTGAACTCACAGAGATCCACCTCTCTCTGCCTCCCAAGTGCTGGCTGGGATTAAAGGCATGAAAAATAAGTCTTCAACAACAACAACAAGCAGCCATACTGCATTGCCCTGTGTTCTGATTCCCAGAACCCATAAAAGGTGGAAGGAGAGCCAACAGACCTGTCATGGCACACGTGATTCCCCCACCACACTCCAGTGCCTGCTTCCCCCACCCCACCACACTCCAGTGCCTGCTTCCCCCACCCCACCACACTCCAGTGCATGCTTGTGTGTATACACACACACACACACACACACACACACACACACACAAAATAATAATAATAAATTAGCTGAGTGATGGCGGCACATGCCTTTAATCCCAACATTTGGGAGCCAAAAGCAGGCATAGCTCTGTGAGCTCAAGGCCAGCCTGGTCTACAGAGTGAGTGTTAGGACAGCCAGGGCTACACAGAGAAACCCGTCTTGAAAAACAAACAAGCAAAAAAAATTAAATAAATTATTTTAAAAGAAAAACGACCGCCGGGCGGTGGTGGCACACGCCTTTAATCCCAGCACTCGGGAGGCAGAGGCAGGCGGATCTCTGTGAGTTCGAGGCCAGGCTGGACCGACAGCCTCGAAAACAATACAGAGAAACCCTGTCTCGAAAAACCAAAAAAAAGAAAAAAAAGAAAAACGACCAATGATGATATAGCTCAGCAGTATAATGCCTGCCTAGAATCCCCCAGTGAGGAGCTGGGGTGTGGCTCAGTGGTAGAGCACCTGCCTAGAATCCCCCAGTGAGGGGCTGGTGTGTGGCTCAGTGGTAGAGCACCTGCCTAGAATCCCCCAGTGAGGGGCTGGGGTGTGGCTCAGTGATAGAGCTCCTGCCTAGAATCCCCCAGTGAGGGGCTGGGGTGTGGCTCAGTGATAGAGCTCCTGCCTAGAATCCCCCAGTGAGGGGCTGGGGTGTGGCTCAGTGGTAGAGCCCCTGCCTAGAATTCCCCAGTGAGGGGCTGGGGTGTGGCTCAGTGGTAGAGCACCTGCCTAGAATTCCCCAGTGAGGGGCTGGGGTGTGGCTCAGTGGTAGAGCACCTGCCTAGAATCCCCCAGTGAGGGGCTGGGGTGTGGCTCAGTGGTAGAGCACCTGCCTAGAATTCCCCAGTGAGGGGCTGGGGTGTGGCTCAGTGGTAGAGCACCTGCCTAGAATCCCCCAGTGAGGGGCTGGGGTGTGGCTCAGTGGTAGAGCACCTGCCTAGAATCCCCCAGTGAGGGGCTGGGGTGTGGCTCAGTGGTAGAGCACCTGCCTAGAATCCCCCAGTGAGGGGCTGGGGTGTGGCTCAGTGGTAGAGCACCTGCCTAGAATCCCCCAGTGAGGGGCTGGGGTGTGGCTCAGTGGTAGAGCACCTGCCTAGAATTCCCCAGTGAGGGGCTGGGGTGTGGCTCAGTGGTAGAGCACCTGCCTAGAATTCCCCAGTGAGGGGCTGGGGTGTGGCTCAGTGGTAGAGCACCTGCCTAGAATCCCCCAGTGAGGGGCTGGGGTGTGGCTCAGTGGTAGAGCACCTGCCTAGAATTCCCCAGTGAGGGGCTGGGGTGTGGCTCAGTGGTAGAGCACCTGCCTAGAATTCCCCAGTGAGGGGCTGGGGTGTGGCTCAGTGGTAGAGCACCTGCCTAGAATTCCCCAGTGAGGGGCTGGGGTGTGGCTCAGTGGTAGAGTGCTTGTCTAGTATTTTAAGATGTACTTTAGTATCTTTAGCTCTTGAACAGCTGCGGTAGCACAGGCCTGTATTACTGAGAGACATGGGCAGCAGAGTCACCACAACTTTGGAACCAGCCTGGTTTGTCCGGCCCACCTATTGAGGGACAGGGATGACTACATACTACCAATTGTCCAAACAAGGTGGATAACAAATAACCAATAATTAATCATGACTCACCAGGCCCTGGGCTACATCTTCACTTATATGAGGTCACTGGATTCTCATGCCAGCGCAGTGACATCAGCCTTTGTTACCATCTCCATTTGGCAGAGGGAGAGAGTAAAGAACAGAGAATCTAACTTCTTCAGACTCCCCCACCCGGCCGCAGAGCCGGCGAACCCAAGCAGTTTGGTGGTCTGTCAGAGCTGCCACGCGCAGTGAGCCCACCAGGCCGTTTAATGTCTCACCACACAGTGTGTGGCATGTGTGGCAGATGTTTAGGATTCCAGTCCTTCAGACGAACAGACTGGAGACCAGGAGTTAAGGTCATCCTTGACTGCGTAGAGAATTCCAGACTAGCCTGGACTCCATGAGACCCACTCTCAAAAACAAAAACCAAGGGGCTGGGAAGAGGCCACAGCGGGTAAGGAGCTCACTGCGCACGCGTGGGGACTGAGTTTGGGTCCACAGTGTACAAGCTGAGGATGTGACAGCTCCGAGGAATGGCTGAGGGGAAGGTTTGTTTTTATTGTATTTATGAAGAGTCCAGAGCGGAAAGGGAAAGTAGTAGGCTGAACTTGACCAGCAGACTGGGGCGGGGCGGGGGCGGGGGTGGGGGCGGGGGGAAAGCAAAGAGACTGGGACAAAGGAGACAGAGAGAGAGGGGACCAACAGAGAAAGAGAAATCAGAGAGGACCAAGAGGATGCACAGCTGAAACAGCAGGGTCATAGGGCAATGGGAAGCTGGGGTGGGAAGGCCGCCAGCCGCGGAACTTTAGGGTAGAGGGCGGGGTCAGAGAGCCAGCATTCCCTAAGGTACTTGTGATGCAGAGTGAGCCCGGAGGCCAGCAAAGCGGCTTTGGGATGTAATAGGCACCACAGACAGTTGCACCTGACACACAGCACCTATATAAAAGCTGGGCTTGGCTGGGCATAGTGGTGCACGCCTTTAATCCCAGCAGAGGCAGGCAGATCTCTGAGTTCGAGACCCCAGTCTAGCCTACAGAGTGAGTTCCAGGACAACCATGGCTACCCAGAGAAACTCTGTCGGGGAGGGGGGAGGTTGAGTGTGGCCACCTGTGCGGCTAACTCCTGTGCTGAGCTGGAGGGGTGGGGCAGTTACAGAGGCAGGAGGGTAGTATGGAGCTCCTGCCCAGCCAGTTTGCAAGCTCCAGAGTCAACAAAAGACGCTGTCAAGAAAGGAAGGAAAGAAGGAAGGAGAGGACGGGAGAGAGAGAAAGGGAGGAAGGAAGGAAAAGAAAAATCTGTCAGGGCCAGAAAGATAGTTCAGTGGACAAGGCACCTGCCACCAAGCCTTTGCTCCCCAGGATACACGGGGTAGGAGAGGGCTGATTGGTGCTGGCCCTGAGACCTCCACAGGTGTGCCATGGCCTGTGAGTCACACAGGCCTCCCTCTGGTTCAGACCAGCGACACACAGGACCTAACTTCCAGCTGTAGTCTCAACAGAAGCATGGGACCGGCCACCGGCCGCCGCCCTTCAACCCGCGGCGTTCTGAAGCCCAGGCAGTGAATGCCCGGCAGTGGGAACCGCTCCAGCTACCGGTATTACAGTCATTTGTTTTCTCCAACTAGAGAAGTTTCCAGATGGGGGCAGAACCTTCCTGGCCCCGCCTGCTTGTCCCCTTTGTCAGTTTAGGGGGAGGAATGCAGCGGGGAGGGGCGGCCCCTAGACGGTCATTGCCATTAATAGAGACCTGAAGCACCGCCTGCTAAAAATACCCGGCTGGACACCCATAAAAGCCCAGACGGGGCTCCGGTTCGGCACTTCTCGGATCCTCAGCCCAGAACTTCTTGATCCTCAGCCCTGAGCAGCACTGCCAAGAACATGACCGAGCGCCGCGTGCCCTTCTCGCTGCTGCGGAGCCCCAGCTGGGAACCATTCCGGGACTGGTACCCGGCCCACAGCCGCCTCTTCGATCAAGCCTTCGGGGTGCCTCGCTTGCCCGATGAGTGGTCTCAGTGGTTCAGCGCCGGCTGGCCCGGCTACGTGCGCCCGCTGCCCGCCGCGGCCGCCGAGGGACCCGCTGCAGTGGCCCTGGCCGCGCCCCTGGCTGCGCCCGCCTTCAGCCGTGCGCTCAACCGGCAGCTAAGCAGCGGCGTCTCGGAGATCCGGCAGACGGCCGATCGCTGGCGCGTGTCCCTGGACGTCAACCACTTCGCTCCGGAGGAGCTCACGGTCAAGACCAAGGAAGGCGTGGTGGAGATCACCGGTGAGCCTCCTTTGTCCCTACAGGGAAAGAAGCTAGCGGGCTGAGCGCCGCGGTGGCTGTAGGGGGTGGGCAGGGGTGTGTGTGTGAAACTAAGAGGGATGGAAAGTTAGAAATGATCTCAGAGACCCGGGCCAGTGTCGTTCTCCCTAGCCAGCTTCCCTTGCTGCGCAACCCGGGGCGCAGGTTGCGCCTAAGAGCCCTGTCATCCTCGATGATAAGGACCAACAGCCGGGGATGTAGCTCCGGGTGGAGCCTTGCCGGGCCTGCGGGAGGCCCTGGGTTCCACCCACAGCAACGCACCCTCTGAAAGACCCCACTCCCAAATAAGGAAGGGCTGGGACTCCTGCCGGGGTCCCTAGTCCCAGCCGCGGAGGGGGCTTGCACGCAGCTCTGAGTGCGCCTGCGCTGGTGTCCAGCCTGGATCAAAGCCAAGCCCAGTGCCCAAATCCCAGAAACAAACTTTCTGGAAAGTTTTCAGAATCCAGAAAGTCAGGCATCTCACCGCACTCTGATTCGTGTGCTGCCTTAGAGTCCCAGCCACTCCTTAGCAGGTGGTGGGGGCTGCTAAGACAGCTAAGACAGGGTTGCCCCTGACCTCCTTCTGTCCCCACCCACAGGCAAGCACGAAGAAAGGCAGGACGAACATGGCTACATCTCTCGGTGCTTTACCCGGAAATACACGTGAGTTCTGGTTCCTTGCGTGGATGGGTGGAGGAAAGCTGATCCAGAGAGGCCCGGGATCTGGAGGGATGTGTAACCCTTGTCCTGTTTCTCTTCGCGTCCAGGCTGCCTCCCGGTGTGGACCCCACCCTGGTGTCCTCTTCCTTGTCCCCTGAGGGCACACTTACTGTGGAGGCTCCGCTGCCCAAAACAGCCACACAATCATCGGAGATCACCATTCCGGTCACTTTCGAGGCCCGCGCCCAAATTGGAGGCCCCGAAGCTGGGAAGTCGGAACAGTCTGGAGCCAAATAGAAGCCATCAGCCTGCTGCCCATCCCCAATAGCCATCACTGGCCACCCCTCTCTATCAATCTTTATGCTCTTTTGATACATGTACACTCTGTTTTTCTCAAATAAAAGTTGGAAGCTACTGCTTGCCACCGTCTCAAACCGCGGTGTTTCTGGCGGGCTAGGGATGACGTTCCTTTGAAGTCTTTGCGATGGGCTCAGCCCCTTCTTGTGTCCAGACTAACATTTCCCTAGGGAGGGGGGGAGGTAATCTGGAGATTAAAAATTTACCAGGGTGCGGGCCGGGTATTGGTGGCGCACGCCTTCAATCCCAGCACTCGGGAGGCAGAGGCAGGTGGATCTCTGTGAGTTCGAGGCCAGCCTGGTCTACAAGAGCGAGTTCCAGGACAGCCTCCAAAACTACAGAGAAACCCTGTTTCGAAAAAAAATTTTTTTAAATTTTACCAGGATGGGGCTGGGCATGATGGTGCATGCCTGTAATTCCAGCACCCAGAAGCTGATGCAGGAGCATGTTGAATTTGAGATCAGCCTAGGCTACAGAGTGAGTTCCAGAACTTCCTGGGCCACATACTTGCTGACTCCAAAACAAAGCAAAAAACAGGACCTGGGGATGTAGTTCAGAAGAGCGACTATATGGCCTACATGAAGCACTGTTTGTCCCCCAACACACACACACACACACACACACACTCACACACACTCACACATTCATAGACACACACTCACACATTCATAGACATGCACTCACAAATTCACAGACACACACTCACTCACACATTCACAGACACACACACACTCACACACACTCACACATTCAAACACACACTCACACATTCACAGACACACACTCACTCACACACACACTCACACACTCACACTCACACATTCATAGACACACACACATTCATAGACACACACTCACAAATTCACAGACACACACACTCACTCACACATTCACAGACACACAGAGACACACACTCATACACACAGACACACAGAGAGAGACACATAGAGACACACACATATCGAATAAACCAGGCATGATGGTGCACACCTATGAGTCCAGCATTCCGGAGGATCCGAAGTTCAAGGTTATCCTTGGCTATTTAGCTAGCTTGAGGCCAGCCTGGAACCCATGAAAACTATTTCTCAAAAGGAAAATAACAGGGAGCTGGAGAGGTGGCTCGGTGGTTAAGAGCACTGACTGCTCTTCCAGAGGTCCTGAGTTCAATTCCCAGCATCCACATAGCGGCTCACAACTGCCTATAACTCCAGTTCCAGGGGACCTGACATCTTCACACAGACACACATGCAGGCAAAACACTAATGCTCATATGCTCATAAAATAAAAAGAAAATTTAAAAAGTAAAACAATAGGCCGGGCGTTGGTGGCGCACGCCTTTAATCCCAGCACTCGGGAGGCAGAGGCAGGCGGATCTCTGTGAGTTCGAGGCCGGGCTGGTCTACAGAGCTACTTCTAGAACAGCCTCCCAAGCCACAGAGAAACCCTGTCTCAAAAAACCAAAAAAGAAAAAAAAAAGTAAAACAATAAAGAACAAGGTAGACCTACCACCTGTCAAGTGCAAAGGAAACTCCTCTCCCCCAAATTCTGGCACGGTACGGTTTGCCTTCATTAAAGGAGGCGTTTCCTCGTCTGTGGGGCCATTAGCGTAGCAAAGCCGTGCTAGCCTACAGGTTACTCAGCATTACGAGTATGTGTGGCTCTTTTCATTCCACCGCCAGCTCACGGACTTTCCTGCCCAGAGTCTCAATGCTCGGTAACCCTCTCTTGGTCCCCTCTCTCTTGTCTTCCTCTCTTCCTCTCCCTGCCCCCTCCTCTCACAGTGGGGTCCAGTCTGCTGGCCATGTTCAAGCTACTGCTTCATCTCCCTACTCTGAGCTCCTTCAGAACAGTCTCAGCCATACTCTCCCTCATATCTACAATAAAACCCTTCCCGCAACCTTACCTTGAATCAGTCATGCCCTCTCATCTATCTATATAGAGAGACATATATATGTGTGTGTGTGTGTGTGTGTGTATACATACATACACAGCCTTAGCTATAGAGCAAGTTCAAACCCAGCCTGTTTAAAGACTCTGTCAATGCAGCAACAGCAAAATAAACAAATAAAATTAAAAATATTATTAAAATCAATAATCTCCAAGGGAGATGGAGAAGGCACAGGAGATGCGGCAGTTTCCTGAGGTGTTGGACTAGACACACACATATACATGCACACACATACATACACACATATACATGCATACACACACATACACACATGCGCACACAATACACATACGCGCGCGCACACACACACACACACACACACACACACACACACACACACACTATGCAGAATGGAACCTGGGCTCTGAGCTCCGAGCAGAGAATGAGGATGGTGTCTGACATTTTGGTCAAAATTGACTGTGACCCTGGCATCTGCTTGCTCTGGAGAGCGTGCCTTGACTAGCCCAGGTCAAAGTAATTACTCCACCCTTGTTTGCTCTGCTCTGTCCATCCCAGGGAGGGATCTGAGGGATCCTCGGGGGCTTTGGAGCCCAGGGCCACATAACGTAAGGAACCGGGACTGCAGGGATTGCTCATGGTCTGCTCTCTCAGAGGATCAGAGCTCAGGTCTCAGCACCCATATAAGGTGCTCACAAGCTGCTGTAACTCCAGCTCCAGGGAAATTTATGCCTCTGGCCTCTGAAGGCACACACACACACACACACACACACACACACACACACACACACACTGAACTTTTAAAACATCTAAGAATGTATTATTACTATTATTGTTGATGTCATTATTATTATTATTATTCCATGAATGCAGCCAGTGGTACAGATCTGTAATCCTAGCACCCGGGAGTCAGAGGCAAGAGATTAAAATATTCCAGTCTAGCAAGAGCTACATGGTAAGACCTGTCTCAAAAAAGCCAAACCAAGCCTGGCCCAGCACTTGCTGCCAAGCCTGAATTCCAATCCTCTAAATCCCACCCAGTAGAAGAAAATCTACTCCCAAAAGCTGTCCCCTGACCTTCACATGCCCACCATGGCACACTCACATTCCTGTCCTCACAAACACACAAGCACACAAAGTAAATGAACAAAAAATAAGAAGAAAAGAGCCAAACTATGCTTAGTGCATAGGTCAGTGGGTGAGTGCTTGCCAGGCATGTGTGGAAGCCTGGGTTCCACCCCAGCACCGTCTGTAATATCAGCACTGCCAACCCAGCCATTAGGTTCAGGAGTTCAAAGCCAGCCTCAGCTATAGAGAGAGTTAGAGGCCAGCCATCTAGAGCTACATAAGACCTTCTCAAAAAGAAGAGACAAGAGTTGTGTGTGACGGTGCATGCCTGTAGTCCTGGTGTCTGGAAGGTGAAGGCAGCAAGAACCTTGAGTTCAAGGAAGGCCCGGGGAACAAGCGAGGCTCTTAGGAAAGAATGAAGGGCAGGGGAGAATGACTCAGCCGTTAAACACTTGTCATGCAAGCGTGAAGACCAGAGTTCAGATCTCTAGAATCCACACAAATGCCTGAGCCCACGTAATTCCAGCCTTGCAAGGTAGAGATAGGGGCCTTGTCTGGATATGACAATCTGGCTTGGAAGACCAGCCCCACCCAGAGCTCTGGGTTTGATTAAGCTGTCTCAATGAAGAAGGTGGAAGCAATGGAGAAAGATTCCCAACCTCAATCTTGGGTCTCCACATCCATATACAACCACATGTATTCACACCAATGTGTACAACCGCCCTCAAATGTGCAACACACACACACACACACACACACGCTCCTTCCTAAACCCACAGCCCTGCTTTCCCAGGGCCCATGGGAGGAACAATTTCCTGCAGGGACCTATCTGGCACACCCTGTCCCCTGCCACCACCAACTCCCCGACTCTCTCAGCTTCTTGACAGTGTAAGCGCCTCTGCTGGGCAGCGCCTGGGTCGGAACACCTGGAGCAGGCATGAAGCCAGGGCAGGTCCTGGCAGAAGGGCTTATTCTGGCTCAGCTGGCAGGACCAGCCTGAGCCCGTCACTCAGAACTCTGCCCCGCCCTCTCCTCACTTCCCCTCGCTGAACAGGGCTGTTCAGTTCACGTCCATCTTGAGATCCTAAACAGCCTCCCTTAGCGTAAGCCATCTCTCCGTCTCCACATGCCCATGGCAGAGCTCGGAGAATCAGGCTGGCTGGGTCCCAGGCTGGATCTGAGGGACCAGCTGTCTTGTGGCTGGCACGAAGGATGTCCTGGCTTGCAGAGGTATGACTGCATTAGAGATGGCTATGCAAGGCTGCCCTGAGGTGCCCTTGGAGTGTCTCCTCAGATAACTCTGCAGTGAGGTACAGTCACTCCCACTTAACAACGGGGTACACAGAGAAAAACAACTTGGTACAGCAAGACTCAAAGAAGAGACAGATTTGCTGGAGGGGTGTGGCCAGAGACAGGAAGACAGATTAGCGCAAGTTCAGAGGCAAGGGAACTCAAGAGGAATGAAATGCAGTCTGAAATGCAGGTGTGTGTGTGTGTGTGTGTGTGTGTGTGTGTGAATTTATTTTATGTGTATAGGTGCTATAGATATCTGATCAAGCCTGCATGTTTGCATGTGCAACACATATGTTCCTGGAGGCTCAGAGGCCAGAGAGAGCATCAGATCCCCTGGGACTGGAGCGAGAGATGGTCGGGAGCCACCATGTGGTTGCTGGGAATCAAACCCAGGTCCTGGGAAGAACAACAAGAACTTTTTTTTCTCTTCCCGAGACAGGGTTTCACTGTGTAGCCTGGCTATCCCAGAACTCGCTCTGTAGACCAGGCTGGCCTTGGACTTAGAGATCCACCTGCCTCTGCCTCCCGAGTGCTGGGATTAAAGGCGTGCGCCACCAACGCCTGACTGCAACAAGTGCTCTTACACTCGTAACCACCTCTCCAGCCCCTAGATACAGTCTTTAAAATGTTTTCAGATGACACACAGGTTTCTCAAGTGGACAAGAAGAATTAGTCTCACATACGACATCTTGCAATCTCTGTCTTTTGGGTGGCAGCTTCAGTGATTTCAGCCCCCACGAAACATTTATTCAGAAAATGTGCTACAGTGGAGATGAAGACTTAGATAGGATGGGGGAG